ATTTTTTACTTTTAATAAAAAAAAATGACTACTGAATTATTTAAATTATACATATATAATTAAAACTTTTTTTAAAGCAATGCTAGGCGCACTCAGCAGTTGCACTCTCTGATCAACACTTCCACTTTCATTGGCCCACGGTTACTTGGGTTGCCAACAGGTTGCCTTTCATAGCCTCAAGGAGGTTTACGTGGCCCAATAAAAAGGTATGTGGTGGCTGGAGAGTGTAGGAGGCGAATTCCTAGAGCGTTGCTCTTTTATTTATATTTATTGTACTTTATATTTATATAATAATAATTTTTGAAAATAAAAATATAAAAAATATAAAAATAAATTATAAGTCAAGAAAATCACATATACAATAATAATAATTCAAATAAATAATAAATTTTAAACTAAATGCATGACATACAAAGTAATAATAACTAATACAAGATTTTTTTTACTTAAATTAAATACATAAATATATATTTATAAATTACCTAACAACTATTAAATTAAATGTCAAATATAAATCTTTAAATATTTATGTAAGTGCTAAAATTAAATATTATATTTAAAAATTTTCAAATCATGCACTCAAATATAATTTATACATGACTTATATAAAATGAAAAAAACGTATGTTTAGTCTCAACTCTTAAAATAAATTAAAATTTTAATTTTAAATTATATCATTTTATTTTATTTAATATTAATATTTAAATTTAAAAATTAATTATATTAAAACGTATAATTAAATTTTAAATTTATATATTAATATTTAATGAAACATATTTTCATATTTTATATTTTAATTTTTAAATATAAATTAAGGTTTTAATTTTTTAAAATTAAATTAATATGCACTGAATTATCAAAAAATTAAATATTAATTTTAGTCTCTCAACTTTATGAATATGCACAATTTTCATCCTTCAACTATTTTTTGTACTTTTTTTGTTCATTAACTCTTAAAACTGCACAATTTTGATCTCTCCGTCAGTTACTCCCGTTAACTCAGTCCACATGGCATTTTCCTTTTTTTTTTTTAATGACATGTTAATGACAAATCATACAATTAATTTAGTTGAACTATGCCAAGTCAAATTTGTTGTACCTATGATTTTGATTATTACAAAACACATTTAAGTGACTAATTTGTTCATTTAAGTGCGTAGTTAAACTTCTAAAAAATTGTAAAGTAAGCAAACTAAGATTGAACTGAAAATGGACCCAAAAGGCTGGACATTGTGCAGAAAGCCAGCTTAAAGAAATCTGCAGCAGGCTCTACGAATGAAAATTTTAAGCCCAAAGTTTGGCACACGCAGAAAACGGACGCAAAGCTGGCTTTAACTTTACAGCTGGTTGTGATGGGGTATTTAATGCATAACAATCAAGTTGTTTGAAGATTATTTAATGTTTTTAAAGTCGAAATCCCAAAGCCGGCTTTACATTTTGCAGCCGGCTGTTCAGGGAAACAGAATGTGTAGGAAATTCGCAAAGCTTGCTTTACGTTTTGTAGCCGACCCTATGAAGAAAACAGAATATGTAAGAAACCCGCAAAGCCGGCTGCAGAATTCTAAGCCAATTGTACAGAGCCGGCTCTAGACTTTAAGCCGGCTATACTAACAAATCTGCAACTCAAAATTTTGTGACCTGCAGAGCATTTAATGACCCCAACTGTTAGAAACGATTATTTTCGACCATAAGACTATAAATATGGTTGGTAACAGATCTTGAATGTTTTAGAGAGCATTGCATTGAATATCTTTACCTACCCACTTGTGCTTTAACTTGAGTTTTGATCTTTGCTTGTAATACTCTTTTTGTTCTATTAGTGTATTTTTTGGGGGGTGTGATTATTTCTTCAAGAGTGATCTATAAAGATGATTCTTGGGGTTTATATTGTAAAGATGTGAGGTTTGAGAGAAATACTCATCTTCTTGTAAAATGATTGAATGGCTCCTTTAAGCCACCCTTGTTTTTTTTAGTTGAAAGCGTGGAGGAAATCTTTGGTGAGTGAAGTTAAGGTAGAGGATTAAGTTTCAAGTGGTTGGACCGAATCTTTATAAAATTATTGAGTAAGCTCTTCTTCTCTACTCTCTTTAATTTTGGTTTTTTGGTTGCAAAAGGAGAGATTTTTTTGAAACTCCAATTCACCTCCCCTCTTGGAGTACATTGAGTCAACAGGATTTAAATGCTATTTTAATTCTTTTCAATTCTTTAAATATAAAATTACTAAAATACTCTTAATTTATTCTTCTTGCCATCGTTCTCCTTTACTCTCTCGTTGTTCTCCTTGCCACCGCCATTGTTTCTAGCCATTTTCCACCTCTCTTTGTCACTGTTTCTCCTCTCACCTCCCCCTCATCCCCCTTGCTTGGCCATGACTGGGTTTGTGAGGAACCCAAAGATGATCTAGGTTCATCATGAATCCAGTTCTCAGTTCATGTAGACGAACCCATATCTCTTTTGGATTCATGGCAAACCTAGTTCTGGGTTCATGTGGATGAACCAAAATCTGTTCTAGGTTCATGTGGACAAACCCATATTTGTTCTGGGTTAGTTGCAAACCCAGTTATGGGTTCATCCCAAAGTCAAAAGGGAATTAAATTTGTTAAAGTTTTGTGTTGGACTCAAGATGAAGCTCTTAATCTTCAAATTATAACCTTGCTACAGAAATTTAATAAAAGTTTTGGGCAAACTGAAATCTTAGGCAAAAAGCTAGATTTCCTCACTTTACTGACTATTGTTATATACATTGAGCTCCTTGCTATTTCTTCACCAATGACTACAATTGTTCCACATGGAAAAATGGTGGATAAAGGTAAGAGAGCAAAATTAAAAGGGTTCCAATGGTCAGTCGTCTATTGGAAAATTCCGTCTAGAAGGACTTTCACATTTGTTGCTTCAATACATGAAATTCCATACTTGGCAGCCATATCATCATCTAGGTCCCACATGCCTTATTTACCACATATCAGAAGGATTCATTGCGAACCTAGTTCTGGGTTTGTCACAAACCCATCAAAGGGTTCTCGCGAACCCAGATGTTCTGGGTTTGCCTCTTTCATTCAATGCTCTAGCATTCTCTCCTTCCATCTTTCTCCTTCTCCTTTTTCTTCTTCTCCTCCTTCCTTCATCCCTTTCCCTTTGTATAACAACACCAAGATATAGAACAAACCTTTTCAATTAACTACACTAACAACATGAAAAGCACACATAATCTTTGAAAATGAAACAACAATTTAAATCTATAAAAAAAAAAAAAAACAATAACAAAATTCTTAGAAGAATTTGGATTTGTGACACCCAAATATGGGTTTTTTTAACCCAAATCTTGTTCGTTTAACCCATAAATGGTTTTTTTTTTTTTCTCTCTCAAATTTCATGATTTTGGATTTTTGAAGAGAGAAGGAGAGGGAGGGCTCAAATGACTGGGAAAGGAAAAGTGAGGAAGTAAGTAGGGTTAGAGAAAGGATAGGGAAGGGGAGTTTGTTAATGGCAGAGGAAAAGGGAAGATAAATAGTGAGAGAAGAAGAACCACAAAGACGATGAAAGTAGGGGTTTAATTGTATTTTTATCTTTTAATTAATATGATGTTATTACACGTCATAAAAAAGTACCTTTTTGGAATATTTAATTGTCAAGTGTCACTTAATTGACGGAATGATCAAAATTGTGTAATTTTTAAAATTAAAGGATTAAAAAAATACAAAAAATAATTAAATGATGAAAATTGTGCATGCTTACAAAGTGAAAGACCTAAATTAACATTTAACTTAAAAAATAAAAAAATAAAAAAATAAAAAAAAAAACATGGTCAGCGTTCATTATTGGGTTCCAATTTCCAGTCTTCCAAGTATCAAATTTCAAAAGTTAGGTGAGACAAGAGGACAAGACAAGACAACTTGATTTTAATTTTTACCGAACGCAAAGCAGCACGGTAAGAAGGATAAGCTTGTTGGAATATTAAAATTTCAAAGACTTTCCCCCTTTTTAAATAAGCTAATTTTTTATAAATGTTTTTATTATATTACGAGAAACAGAGAAAATATTTTATTATATTACAAGAAACGGAAAAAATAATTTTTTAAAAATTAAATATTAAATTTAAAATAATATTTTTATTAAAAAATAAGTAACTAAACACTCAATTTAGACCATGCGGAGCCAAATTTCAAAGACTTTTAAAATTATAAACTAACATGCACTGAATCATCAGAAAACATAGTCAATCTTCATTATTGGGTTCCAATTTCCAGTCTTCTGAGTTTCAATTTCAAATATTAGGTCCATTACCTATTCTCAAAAAAAATTTCCAATATTAGGTGAGACAAGAGGACAAGACAACTTGATTTTATCGAACGCAAAGCAGCACGGTAAGGAGGATAAGCTCGTTTGAATATTTTTATTATATTACGAGAAATGGAGAAAATAATCTTTAAAAAATTAGATATTAAATTTAAAATAATATTTTTATTAATAAAACTAAGTAACTAACCACTCAATTTAGACCATGTGGAGCCAAACTTCAAAGACTTTCAAAATTATAAAGCTTGCTCAAATAAATTTTTACTAACTTCTTGATTTTACACCAATGTTTTCCATTATAAGTTCTGAAGTTTCAATTTCTTAAGATTATCTTTTAATGGATTTTTTTTTTTTTGAACATTTTGTCATGGGACCGACTCGAACTGTTGCTATGGAGAGGGGATATGAACCTTACAAACGTGACTAGAACCACTTGACCCGAAAGATTAGATTCATCTTTTAATAGACTTTGATTGATAATTTTGCAAAAAAGGAATTTATTTAAAAAATACTTTAACAAAAGTTTCTGCTAAGAAAAATAAATGTCACCAAATCCCCGCCATCCCTCTCTTGGGTCTAGTTGAAGAATGCCATAAGATGGTAATTATAATTTAAAAGCACGTTCAGATTTCAACTTTTGTGTGACATTTACATATCATCATGTTGCAGTATCTGAGGCCCTCCTAAAGGACACGGCAGGAGTGAAAACTCCAGATACCCATTCTAGGTATTGGGATTAGAATTTTTTATGATTAATTGCAATAAATGGACTCTGTAGCTCTGCAATTTCTGCATAAAACTAAAACTAAAACTAAGATTAATTCAATATACTGACTACATAGAACTGAGATTTTGGCTTTTTAATGGCAAATTAGAAGATAAACTATTTTGTTTATTGTTAATTTATTTTAAATTAGACGAAATTC